TGCATTGTTTTCAACACGTGCATCGATCTTCCGTAAGCACTTACCATGAGAATAAGCAGAGATTGTCTGTGCATAATTACTGATCATCATGGTGGTCATTTCTGTGGGTATTCGTGTGACCGGACCTTCATCCAGACTGGCACTTGCCTTCTCCTGTTTTCGCAACTGACGTTGCCTTTTCAGCTCATCATTCCCACAGTGATCGACCACATCGTCCAAAAATGTATCCACAAACAGCGCAGTAACGCACGCAACTACCGGTTGTCGACACATGGGGCACATACGTCGCAATTTAAGCCACCGGTATAAACACTCCCGACAAAATTGGTGTCCGCAACCGAGTACACGTGCTCGAACCAGAAAGCCTTGGCAAATGGGACAGCTAAAATTGTCTTTTACAGTCCTATCTAATGTGATATTTTCTATCACGGAGATTGTTTCCAAATTCACTGTTACACTATCCTGGTTCTCACATTTTAGTTCTCCGAGTAATTCTTGTGCTTCGGGACAAAGTTCCACGTGTCCGGTTGAAGAGACTGCATCCACGATACAACAGGTTGGAGTGGAAGCTACTTGCATTCCCACTTCCGTCACGTTTTGTTTCATATCCATTTTTACTTATTCAGATAGACAAATGTATGTGTTTTACTGTCTTGGTTGGAGCAGGTAATTCCGTGAGTATAGAACGTACAGGTAACAAACGTCTTTGTGGCTACATTGATAATCATTATATACAGTTACTGGACCACTGGAATGCGACAGACAAGGTATAATTGCCTGTGCGCTCACATCAGATTTCCTCGGGAATTGTGATGAATGAAAAACCTATTCACGTGCACTAAATTATCACGCGGCCCCCAGGAAACCTATTATATTCTATCATACAAAATACGGATCACAGTTTGGTATGTCTCACTACACCTTCAGGCAATGTGCAACGCACCTGGTCCGGAATACTTTGTTATGCATCAATATGCGCTATGTGATGCACCAAACGGCAGTTCATCTCGATTTCACGGAGGGGGGCTATATACAAATGGAATTGAAGCCTCAATACTCAAGTTCATCAATGACAAGAGATATGATCGAACGATCATCTGTATCATATTTAGAAGTAGTGATACATATTTGTAATAACACCTAGATAATTGCGAACTAGGTCACATGAATCTGAATGTATCACCAATGTCCTCCATCTGTCACACTAACAGAGAAATACTTACAAAAAGACAGACAAATAGACAGACAGATAAACAGGTAGACAGGTAGACAGGCAGACAATGAGGCCTGTAAGCATTAGGATGCCTATAAACATTCCCACATCTTAGGCACAAAAATCTGAGAGCAGCCACCAAAATAATCAGAAATATACTGTAACAATACTTTCATTTGGGGAGGGACAATCGTGGGTGATTCAAACAGGCAAACACTAACGCGGTCGTTTCCCATGGTTTTAGTACAGACCAGCGCAAACCGATCGATCTGTGTGCTAAAGTTATTGACAAGCAGTTGACAGTTTGTACCCGCTTGGGGGTCAACAATGCACTCGCATTGCAATGCACTGATCCCAATTTGTAATTCGATGACAACATAGCATTTACAATTGTTCTGTATGATTTCTGAGAGCGAACAGGCAGCTCACCGGGCATGTTGTGCTGTAAATCTTAGCTATTTGTGGGTAAAAATAAAACTTCAGTGCATTACCAAACTTAAGTGGTAAATATGTATCAATCGATGGAGAAGTGTGGATGAACGAAACACGCAGCAAAATTTTCTAAACAATTTATATTTCGAGTTGTTCCACTTAAATTATCTACGGAATCTTCTTCATTGTGTTCTTTTGACCATCCGTATTGTCCACGCAATGCAGCAGTATGATCAAGTAATCGGCCGGATAACAATCTCATCTTGTCCCATTTAAATGGATTCCAAAGAATACGCAATCCATTTAACTTTACTGTTTCATTGGGAAGTGTGAAATTTGAAAATAAATGAAATGAAATTCCATAAGTTTCGGTTAGATTAGAGAAAGGTCGCACCCAGCAAAAACACAATTCAGAGCATCGATCTTACGTTTTTCAAACAATGTGTTATGATCAAACCACGATGAGAAATTGTATCAAGTTTAACAAACCGATGTTCATTTCCCACAAATCCCCTCTAGATTGTTTTCTTCTCCTCTCAATCTATTCCATCATCTTCATCTGCGAACATACAATGACCGCCAGTGCATGAAGCAGGGTTATTGCCTTCTGCTGTTCAACTGCTTAAACTTATGTGTTTATCTGATAGTTTCCTCGACGGGACAGACGTTTTGCTTTATCAGATGCGCACCATCCATATACTCTCGACCGTGTAATTATCAATTGTCCTAGGGAGTTACATCGCGTCACCGATAAAGCTCACACACCCAGTCCCATCAGAAAAATCGTCAATGTGTCATCTAATAAAGCAATAACTACCATGTTCCTTCACAACGGAACTGTTGGAGTAATGCACGTCTTATTTTCGGACATAATTGGTCTATCTAAAATATTTGAATAATATAAAGATATCAATATCAAACTCCTTCTTTCTGATAAAAGTTACCTAAATGACATTTGTCATCCACCTTGCCTCACTACAGACTAAACAATCAATAGAATGCCCGCTAAAATACTTGTAGTCCTACGTATCCACCTACATTATCGGACCAGGAACATTGCAGTGGTTCTTAAATTCACGTTGTCAGAGTAGACGGTTCCTCAGTAGCACTAAAACCAAGCTTAGATAAAAAAACGTTGTGCATTATCCACACAAACAGCGGTTAGCCTACGGAATGCATTCGTCTTCATTTTGTGGGGCCGTGGTTATTTCTTTCCCTATATCTCGGCTGGTGCCGGCGACAGTTTAGCTTTCTCTGCACAGTGGACGAAAATAACGTAACTTAGAACCCCTGGATAAGGGAACATGTTTTCATTTGGCTTCGAATAAGCGGTGAGATAGCAATCACACCAAAACAACTACTCCGTACGGTCCAAATAATCCACAAACGGTCCGGTGACATCAAACATGATACTGTCCCATCAGGAAGTGTTTCACATGTCTATGCCGTCATCGATTGATTGGCTGATGCTGATCGCACACAGGCACACACACAGACTGAAGCCATTTCAAAACTGATTTACTTTGTCACCCGGCTTGATTGCACCGTTATTGCATGTAACACCTTCACTTTCTGTTGACAAAACGTCTGTCGTCCACCTGTGTACCAATCAACTTTCACCCTTACTGCTCATGCACGAACAATTCAAGTTAGGCAGTTTGCTCTCCCTCCACCAAGCCAGTACATTGGACACTTTTCCGTCCCGTTACAGTACCTTTAGAATTACGTCAGGAAGATAGCACAATCCGTCATCTCGCCAGAGTCCTATTAGAGCCCCGAGGGACTCTCTCAAAAACAGGATTGACTGCGAAGTAATTATTTTTTATTAACTGTATCGAGGTGACTAATAAAATACAATGAACTCGATTTGTATAACAAAACCTATTGGTGACCTTAACTTATGAAAGATGAATATTTATGTCCATTTTGTCTTATTGCATAATTTGCACTTGATTCTCGTGGCGCGGCATTGTGCATGGTCATGTTTCACAAAATGTCAGCCTACAATCTACGCCAGTATCGTATCCATGGATGCACCGACAAAGAACGAGTTCAGTGGGATAATTATTGTATTTAACCACTGAATTTTCCGAAAGGTTTCTTCGCAATTCCTGACGCATATTGTCGATGCAGTCAACTGGCGTTACTAACCGGTAGGTTGCAGTTCGTTTTATTGATTGGTGATTAGAGATCCGGTCGAGAAACTGGTGCCACAATTTTAATCCATTGAAAAGGAACTCAAAATCTTCGGTAGACGCGTATCTCCACTTTAACCGCTTTTTATCCAACAGTACAATAGAAAAGAATTTTTCTAGAAAGGCTAACTCGAAGATTTACAAAAGAACCTAACGATGGATTCAAAAACCGCGAGTGAAATGCTGGCGTCGCAATATCGAAAAGAAGAGCATTCCTTTAGAGAGAGAGGAGTCAGTGGTTGTGGATCTTGATAACTGATTGTTAATGTGGTAATATACTACTATTCATCTATCATATAACTGTTTTATTTATTACTGGACCACAAATGACAGCGTATATCTGGCAATCATTCAATATACTTATTGCTATCAACTTATTCCGATTATCCATGCAATCCTCAATGAACCCATTATGCGTTGATGAATGTGAATCTTCCTGTAACTTAACCTTTATTTTTGATGTATTTCATTGTTGAATTCGCTGATAATTCGCTGACAGCCACAGTCCCTGTCCGCAGAGCGGGACAGTTGACCGTCCTATTTGAGTTCCATTTGAGTCCTATTTGAGTCCCGTTGGGACTCAACATACCCACTTTTATGTAATACGAAAATTGAACCAAATAAATCACCGGACTGATAAAATAGAAACCATTAAATTTGTGTATTTTACTACCAGTTTAATCAGCTCGCAGTTTGTTTAAATGAACTAATTTTACATGCGTATGTTCAGCGGCGCTTGCCATTATTCGCCACATCAGATTTCAATGCCCGTGATTATTCTAGGTGGTCAATACGAAAACATGGTAAAGCAAATTTACCAACAAGGTTTTCATTAGGCATTGAACAAGAGACTGTAGAGTGTGGAAATAGATCACCCGTAAATCATTTCGGTCAGTTGTAATGGCAATAATTTTTCATTTTGTGCGTCATTTATGATAGTGAACCAATTGGTTTCTAACGAAGATGCTCTAGTGTCTATAAACGCTAGTAACTGTACAATAAAATTTGCGAGTCTGATGACTGTAAGTTCAATTTTTATTAGATATAAATTACTTTTTACGCTGTCATAGGTGCGACTGAAATGCCTGCTGTATTGTCTAACTGTGTACCGATATGTAGATTGCACCATGTAAAAGAACTTCACGGGTGAAACTCACGTCGAAGTACGTGAGCGAATACAAAGATGAATTCAGAGGGCCACGAAAAAGATACAGAAGAGAGTACTACAAAGAAAACCAACCCGAAGGTTTGTCTGATGACCACTGAATTAAACCTGTACAGCTTTTATGCCAAATGCACATTTCAATGTGCCCTTTGTATTAGTTCTAGTATTGAAATAGGAGTTCGGGTGTAAACGTCTTATGTGGATTTTGTTATTCAACGATTAGGATGAGGCACGATAAACTAACATTGGTAGGGATGAAATTTAGATACATATCATGTAGTTCGTAAGTAAGTAAGTATGCTCGAGTTTGAAGAAATGAAAACAATACTTATTGGTTATAAGGCATTCCTATAAGGTCCTATAAAGTACTATAAAGTCACATTCAAGTCATATCTGAATCCTATCCGAGTCCGGGAAGAAACGGGCAAAGTGCCTGTTGCAAACTCGCGTTTTATTTGCGAACTTTTGAGCCACAGGTTCCCGAGGCATAACGCGAAAGATTACGCGTTATGTTTTTGTTTTTGCTAGCATTTGAAGTTCTAGCACACACCCCATTAATTTTCACAATTCATGTGTCGTCGCTGCTCAAGAAACTGAGCAAAAAGAC